ATATTTAGGGTAGTACATTTTGGTAACTTGAAGAATAATAATAGAAATGACATGACTAAAATTATTTGAGGATGAGATGGGGAGCGAAACGGAATGTACAAACGCCATTTTCGCAAAAATTTGTAGAGGAATAAATTCTAAGAGAAAGAAAGAGGAAGGTTGAGCAAAAATGGAATGACATTGTATTTTATATCTTAAAAACTAAGAAAGAAATTATATAACGACGTTTTATCTTATAAGTTTATCTTATAATTTTGTCTCATCTCTCGCTACTCTAATTTAAATTTTTAAAAAAAAATTAAAAACTAATGAAAGAGATAAATTATTTAGATGAAATCTTAGAACCAAAATGATTGTTTGAATATTTAATACACAAAATAAAAGAAAAACTATTAAAATAGTGAAATAGACGTGGCTCTACCACTTTCGTCTATTTTTTAAATTTATAAAATTATTTATATTTTTATTTAAGATTTAAGGTCACAAGAGTTTATGATTTAGAGTTCATAATTGTAAATTATAAAATCTAAGATTCAACATAAAGAATTAAAATTTTAAGATTTAAATTTTAGAGATTTCAATTTAGCATTTAGATTTATAATTTTATACTTTGAATTTAGAATTTTATAGGTGAGTATTAAAAATTTTAAATTTGAAGTTTGGAGTTTATAATTTAAAATTTTATAAGTGAGTATTAAAAATTTTAAATTTGAAGTTTAGAATTATAATTTAAAATTTACAATTTAGAGTTTTTGGATTCAAATTTGGTTTATCATGTCATTGGTGTAGTTGCAAGATAAATCGAGTACTTTTGAATCCGACCTGTTTACTTCGGTAGACCTGCAAAGCCTCGAGGTGAGTCTTCGAGGTAAACACTCCAATGCCTAAATCAGCAATAATCAGAGCTACAAGATGTGAATCAAGATCTGAGCTTGAGTTCAGTTTTTCATTACCTTTGGGGGGACCCTTTGGGGGTATTTATAACCTTCAAAGGGGGCATCCACGTGTTGTTCTTCACGAGAAATCACGACTATATGTATCAATGATCC